AGTTCAGGACAAGCCTGGGCAACTTAGTGAGACCCTGTCTCGACATAAAAATGAAAAAAGAAGGCTGGAGATATGTGCAATTCGGTGGCAGCGCGTGTACCTCACACTTGCAAAGCCTCTAGTTCAATTCCTAGAAATGATTTTTAAAGAGAAGAGAGGGGCTGGAGAGATGGCTCAGAGGTTAAGAGCGATACTACTCTTCCAGAGAACCTTAGGGCCAATGTGGTGCGACTCACAACCTCCTGTAACTCCAGCCCCAGGAGGTCCAACCCTTTCTTCCAGCCTCTGTAGGCCCCTGCACTCAAGTGTACATGCCCACATAGACATACACATGCCCACATAGACATGCACATGCCCACATACAGACATGCACATGCCCACATACAGACATGCACATGCCCACATAGACATGCACATGCCCACATAGACATGCACATGCCCACATAGACATGCACATGCCCACATACAGACATGCACATGCCCACATACAGACATGCACATGCCCACATAGACATGCACATGCCCACATACAGACATGCACATGCCCACATACAGACATGCACATGCCCACATACAGACATGCCCATGCCCACATAGACATGCCCATGCCCACATACAGACATGCACATGCCCACATAGACAGGCACATGCCCACATAGACAGGCACATGCCCACATACAAACATGCACATGCCCACATACAGACATGCACATGCCCACCTAGACATGCACATGCCCAAATACAGACATGCACATGCCCACATAGACATGCACATGCCCACATACAGACATGCACATGCCCACATACAGACATGCACATGCCCACATAGACAGGCACATGCCCACATACAGGCATGCACATGCCCACATAGACATGCACATGCCCACATACAGACATGCACATGCCCACATACAGACAGGCACATGCCCACATACAGGCATGCACATGCCCACATAGACATGCATATGCCCACATACAGACATGCACATGCCCACATAGACATGCACATGCCCAAATACAGACATGCACATGCCCACATAGACATGCACATGCCCACATACAGACATGCACATGCCCACATAGACATGCACATGCCCACATAGACATGCACATGCCCACATACAGACATGCACATGCCCACATACAGACATGCACATGCCCACATACAGACATGCACATGCCCACATAGACATGCACATGCCCACATAGACATGCACATGCCCACATACAGACATGCACATGCCCACATACAGACATGCACATGCCCACATACAGACATGCACATGCCCACATAGACATGCACATGCCCACATACAGAGATGCACATGCCCACATAGACATGCACATGCCCACATAGACATGCACATGCCCACATACAGACATGCACATGCCCACATACACACATGCACATGCCCACATAGACATGCACATGCCCACATACAGACATGCACATGCCCACATACAGACATGCACATGCCCACATAGACATGCACATGCCCACATAGACAGGCACATGCCCACATACAGACATGCACATGCCCACCTAGACATGCACATGCCCAAATACAGACATGCACATGCCCACATAGACATGCACATGCCCACATACAGACATGCACATGCCCACATACAGACATGCACATGCCCACATAGACATGCACATGCCCACATACAGACATGCACATGCCCACATACAGACATGCACATGCCCACATACAGACATGCACATGCCCACATACAGACAGGCACATGCCCACATACAGGCATGCACATGCTCACATAGACATGCATATGCCCACATGCAGACATGCACATGCCCACATAGACATGCACATGCCCAAATACAGACATGCACATGCCCACATACAGACATGCACATGCCCACATACAGACATGCACATGCCCACATACAGACATGCACATGCCCACATACAGACATGCACATGCCCACATAGACATGCACATGCCCACAAACAGACATGCACATGCCCACATACAGACATGCACATGCCCACATAGACATGCACATGCCCACATACAGACATGCACATGCCCACATAGACATGCACATGCCCACATAGACATGCACATGCCCACATAGACATGCACATGCCCACATACAGACATGCACATGCCCACATAGACATGCACATGCCCACATACACACATGCACATGCCCACATAGACATGCACATGCCCACATAGACATGCACATGCCCACATACAGACATGCACATGCCCACATACAGACATGCACATGCCCACATAGACAGGCACATGCCCACATAGACATGCACATGCCCACATACAGACATGCACATGCCCACATACAGACATGCACATGCCCACATAGACATGCACATGCCCACATACAGACAGGCACATGCCCACATACAGGCATGCACATGCCCACATAGACATGCACATGCCCACATAGACATGCACATGCCCACATACAGACATGCACATGCCCACATAGACATGCACATGCCCACATACAGACATGCACATGCCCACATACAGACATGCACATGCCCACATACAGACATGCACATGCCCACATAGACATGCACATGCCCACATACAGACATGCACATGCCCACATACAGACATGCACATGCCCACATAGACATGCACATGCCCACATAGACATGCACATGCCCACATACAGACATGCACATGCCCACATACAGACATGCACATGCCCACATACAGACATGCACATGCCCTCATACAGACATGCACATGCCCACATACAGACAGGCACATGCCCACATACAGACATGCACATGCCCACATACAGACATGCACATGCCCACATACAGACAGGCACATGCCCACATAGACATGCACATGCCCACATAGACATGCACATGCCCACATACAGACATGCACATGCCCACATACAGACATGCACATGCCCACATAGACATGCACATGAACAATTCAAAATCAACCTCTTTTCAGAAGAGTTTGGGCCTTTAGCAGTTAGTTGGGCCATAAGGGCTGCTCCCTCACTAATGAGATTAAGGGCCTTTATACGAGAGACTTATGTGTAGAATTTAGCTAGCTTGTCTACCTTCTGCAATGGGAAGATGTAACAAGAAGACCCTCATCAGACACCCAAAGGTGCTACTACTTTGAGCTTAGATGTCCAGCCTCTTGAACTATGGAAAGTCTGTTTATGTCTGTAGACATTACTTAGTCTCAGGTATTTTGTTGTAGCTGTACAAAATGGACGAAGTAGTGACTCTAGGGCCAGCCTCCCAAGACACGCTATGTATTTTGATAGTGCTCTGCATCTGGGAGACCTTATATCTTGGTGTCTCTCATCATAGGTTTAGGCAGAGTCACAGACTTATTAGTCTGCTCATTGTGTGTCAGCAGGGACCTCATCTTGGAGCTATCAAAAGTCTCCTTCCCGGGCCTCATGTATGAAGCATCACCTTGCAGCCTCCAGCAGGGACCTGAAAAACTAAGAGAAAGTCTGGCCTCCACTGAACAGGGATATCGTGGGTAGCACCTTGTAGTGTGACTGAAATTTAAACCTCCCCTCTGTCTTGCTTGATTCCATTCTGGTTGTCATAGCCACATGTCTTTCCAGAGCATCATGGTCAGAGCTTGTTTCCAGTGACTCCTGGCCTGTCGTGTTTCGTTGACTTCCAGCAGATGCTCTTTAGCCAGGACACCCAATGTCAACCATCCTAGTTGGCCCAAGAAGGCTGGCATCCAAGGTGTGGTGGCATCACCACTTACCGGGAAGACCTAGCATGGGAGTTTAGGACATGCAGGACTCCTTTAAGCTCTCTGTCCTTGCTTTCTCTGATACTATCTAAGGTTTATATTTCTGGCCCTTGGAAATGATCTGTTTGCCTGTACTTTCCAGAACCATCTTTGATGCCAGTGACAAAGGAGTGTGCTGTGGGAGGTTTTATGTGGCCTTGGAATTGAGTTTGGTGGGGCCTGTGTGTTTAAGAATAGTCAGGGAGCTGGAGGAATCAAATGACAGCAGTTTGAGGAAGCGAGGAAGCAAGTGACCCTGTCATTCTGGCAGGGTCCCTTGATGATAAAAATAACAGGCCCAAGGGAAGACTGGCATTTCCTATGCTTTTATTTTCTTCTCGCGTTTTTTTTTTCCCTACTTAAACCTAGAGAAGTGCCTCCCACTTCACAGACAGCTCTCCTGCATCACTTAAAGCTGAGAGGCCAGGATGCAAGCAGATGATGATACAGCATGGTTTTTGTTCTCACCGCCTCCTTCAGTCTAGCCCTCTGCATTCACTGGTCCTCATCTCTCCTGCAAGCACCGATCTCTTGACCCTGCTTGAATTTTCCCTCTCATCTTCTTCCCTACTCTGACAGCCTCTATTCAAGGAGTATTTGTGAAGTACCTACTCTTAGCCCTTGGTCACATCCTGTCTAATAGGATTTTGAGACTGTAACTTAGGCTTTGTCAATGAGAGTCCAAGCTCCCAAGGTGCAAGGAAGGGTCTTCTACTTTTTTTATGTCCCTCATAGTGCACCCTCAGAGCTTGTGGGTGAAGATTTCCTGATTTGCCCTCTAGGTTCATGGGATCAGTGTAAACACTTATCTAGGGTGGGCAAGAACAAAGACAGTCCAGCTCAGTGGTTTTAGACTGTGCTTTCAAACTCTGGAAAGACAATGATGCCAGATTCTGTACTCAGTCAGCCCCTGTGATGCTCATGAACCCACCCCCAGCGATGGTGACTGGTGAGCATAGCTTGCTAGGTCATATATCCACTTAAGTTCCTGTTCGTTCCCTGTGTTTTCAACCATGCCATTATTATCCGGAACAGAGTCAAGAACTAGGTCTCATCCCTGCCTGGCTATGAAGCTTAATAAATGCCTCTCAATGCTGCTGCAGTGAGTGGTGCCTCAGAGAGACGACCCAAAGTCCTGGAGACGAGCCACAGTTGTATTGTGGGGCATTCGCTGCCGTCCTGCTGGAGTTCTGAGTGCTTGTTTGCCTCTGTTCTAGGCCCACCTGCCGTTTGCTGTCGTTGGCAGCACAGAAGAAGTGAAGATAGGCAACAAGATGATGAGGGCGCGGCAGTATCCTTGGGGGACTGTGCAGGGTGAGTCTGTGCAGAGGGCCTGCACTTAGCGCCTTCTTTGTGTATCTGCTGCTTCTGCCACGATATGCCGAGCTCCTAGCTTGTCTCAGCCTCCGCTACTCAGTGTGGGTCTCAAACAGCCACAGGGGTCACTAGCAGCAAGCTCTGGCCCTGTGCCCAGATTCTGTGATAGGAGCAGACTCCTTTTGTCTAATAGAGAAAGTACTCCCTTATACCCCACCCTGAAACAGCAAAAGACGAATGGACTTGGCACAACATAGAAAGGGCTATAGAAGTGAGTGTGTCGGCCGGGCGGTGGTGGCGCATGCCTTTAGTCCCAGCACTCGGGAGGCAGAGGCAGGTGGATCTCTGGGAGTTCGAGACCAGCCTGGTCTACAGAGCTAGTTCCAGGACAGGCTCCAAAACCACAGAGAAACCCTGTCTTGAAAAACCAAAAAAAAAAAAAAAAAAAAAAGAAGTGAGTGTGTCATTAGGAGAGGCACGAGAATGTTCATAGCAGTGTTATTTATAATGATAAATTATTACAAACAATGAGGTGTCCATCAAAATAGCCGGGGTAATTTGTAAAATGGTCATATAATGGGGTCTTAGACAGCAATGAAAGTTAATGAATTTCAGTTACATCTATGTGGATGGCTCTCAGAAACACAGTGCTAAACGAAATAAATCACACAATAATGCATATGGTAGGTTTCTATTTATATGAATTCCAAAAGTAGGCTAAAATAACATGATATATATTGTGATAAATTCATGCATGAGTGATGAATGATGAAAGCATTTTCATTAAACACACACAAAAACAATGAGAGCTGGAGCAATGGCTCAGAGGTAAAGAGTACCTGTTTACTCTTGCAGAGGACCTGACCTCTGTTCCCAACCCCCATGCCACGAGGCTCACCTTCCTCCTCTAACTCCAGCTCCAGGGGATCAGAACCTTCTTCTGACCTCTGCAGACACCCTACATACACACACACACACACACACACATACATACACACACACACACGAATAAAATAAATAAATCTGAGAAAACGGGACCAGTGTGATGTCTTGTGGGGGCAAAGAAAAGGCACTTTCCTCCAAGCCTCATGGCCTGATCTCTGGAGCCCGCACGGTGGAAGGAGAGAGCTGATTTCTAAAGCTTGTCCTCTGACCTTCGCGCAAACACCAGCGCCCTCACAAGTGCACAGTGCACACCCACACCCCCTCACACTAAACAAATTAAAATAAAAAAATAAACAAATGACTGCTAAACCCTGTCAGGATAGTGCTTCAGTTTCATTGCCAGAGGAGGCAGGGAGTAGAGAGAGGTGCATGAGATCAAAAAGAGGTCAGCAGGGCTTCCAAGGTAATAGTAACATTCGCTTCAGTTGTGGGGATATTTACAAATTTTAAATTTCTTTAAATTGCACATACCTATTTCATGTACTCTTTTATAGATATGCTTATTTCATAATTTTAAAGAATTAGTTATATACTGTATACATGCATGACAATTCTTTTCGCAGCCTGTCTCACACATACGCTTCTCTTCAGGCGGTAACATGAACTCTAGGACTCTGCCAGGGGCAGAGGTTTGGGGGCCCTGAGTCTGTAGCTATAAACCAGGCCGTGACTGACAGTTTCTCTGTAAATTCTTCCCAATCCTTGAGCAAATGAAGGAGAGTGGGCACCCAAGAAGGGTGGCATCCATCTGTAAGTCCAGTCCTGGGAGGTGGGGGCAACTGAAAAGAGAGGATCGTGAGTTCAAAGGCAGCTTCGGGAGACCGTGTTTAAAAGAAGCAAAGATGAAAGTTGATAGTGAGTTGCCCACCTCTCATCCAAAGGCTGGTATGATTGAAGGCACAGCAATCCACCCACAGTAGCTGGAGTGCTTTCCTTCTGTGCTGCTGAGACTGGCACTCGGGGCCATGTCTAGCATGCATGCTAGGCGAATGCTCTGCCACTAAGCTACCTCCTCGGTTCTTCTTTGCTACAATGTCAGAGACGGAAGTCAGGCCTCATGCCTGCTAGATGAAAATGTTACTGTTGAGCTCCATCCCCTGTCTGGGTGTCCCATAGGTAGCAGAAGACTGGTTGGCAGAGCTACGCAAAGTTTTGCTCTTCTCCGCCATTTGCACTGGGGACGTGTCTTAGTCAGTGTTTTATTGCTGTGAAGAGACACTATGACCATGGCAACTCTTTGTGTTTGTTTTGTTTCTTGTTTGTTTTGACCATGGCAAACGTTTACAAAGGAAAGCATTTAATTGGGGCTGACTTCCAGGCTCAGAGGATTAGTCCATTATCATCATGGCAGGACATGGCAGGGTATAGGCAGACAGGGTGCTAGAGAAGGAGCTCAGAGTCCTACATCTTGACCCATGGGCAACAGGAAGTGAACTGAGACACATATATGAGACCTCAAAGTGACACACTTTCTCCAACAAGGCCACACCTACTCCAACAAGGTCACACCGCCTAATAGTGCCACTCCCTATGAGATTATGGGGGCCAATTCCATTCAAACCACCACCACAGGATGTTACACTAGGAACACCTGGAAAAGGCTTCTGGACCAAGAGCCACACCTTTGGAGTCTGTGGCCTGAAAGACAGAAACTTGAGGTGGGACGAGACAAACCAGCAGACAGACTTCCAGTGACTTCCTTCCTCCAACTGGGACTACGCTGTTCTTATCCCAAACTGAGTTCTGTTGTTGTTTGTTTGTTTTGAACTCCCTAGTTGACATTTTTTCTGGATGAGGAAGCAGTTGAACACTGCTTGGAAGCCTAAAAAAGACTTAGAATTATTCCTTTCTTATATACTTAAAAAAATAGTTTTGTGTAGCCCAGGTTGGCCTTGCAACACTGTGTCGTTGAAGCTGGCCTTGAACTCCTGACCCTCCAGCCTCTACCTCCTAAGTGCTGAAATCACAGGTGTGCACCACCAGGCCTGGCTCTAGAATCATTCCTCCTGATCAGGGGTCACTGTCTTGAGCTGGAGAAGCAGATACATATAGCTTGCTCCCAAGGAATTATTTTATTGCTGCAGCTTTTTATATTAGTTTATGTTCTATGGCAATAGATATAGGTCGGTACTGAATGTAAGGGACCTTAAGCAGAAAGAGTACATGGACCACTCTGGACTTTGGACAAATACTTCTGATGACCATATCTGACCATCTCTAATAGTACAACGCAATGGATCCGAGCCCGGAGACATCCTATTAGAGCCCCGCTTGCAGCATGGCTCTGGCCAGAAGTTCACTCTGCTGTGATTTAGTCCACATCACTCACCTTGTTGTCTACTCCCCAAAATGCAGACCTTTGCCCACAAGGCAAAGAAGCGGTTATCTACTTTCCCCTTCAGATTGCAGTGGTCAGGCCATTATCCACCCTTGGTAAAACACCTCCTCAGGAGCTTCTACCACCCACATGAGCCACACCTGAGGTCTGCCCCTCCTTTTCCCTCTCACCTTTCCTACCCTAGTTCTTTTCCCTTGCTCTCTGGAAAGCCGTCTATGGTCTTTGCCTCGCCCCTACACTACCGGGATTTGAAACCTTACTCTGCAACTTGCTCACTATGTGCCCTTGCCTAGCCTTCGGAGGCCTTGTGAAGATCATGTTCTATTATCTGCCTGATAAATTCGACTCTTCCTTCCAGCGTCATCCAAGAGATTTTATCTTTTGGGAAGCCCTTGTTCTCCTGGAGTTCACAGGTCCCCCTCTTCTGGGCTTTTACTGCACTGCAGCCATGCCTCCACATTTGTAATCTTGGCATTGTGTTATATTGTTCTGTTTACATGCGCTTTCCCACTGAGCTGCAGGTTCCTAAAAGTGTGGCCCCCAGGCTTTGCTTCTGAATTATCTGGGCCAGAAAGAATACTGGAAACAGATTCCACTAATATTTATTGGGTGGATGGCTAGATGGAGGTGCATGCATCGTCATCTGCAAAGCAATGTAGAGAAGATATTTCTGCGCAAGTCTGCTTGGTAAATTTGTGCGGAGGCCTTAATGAAAGTTCTCAGATATTTGCACAGTAGTATTGCCCTTTCATAATGTTTCATTTCCATTTTCACAGAAAGTGGAATTAGGTTAAATGTGTAGGAGCCGTATAAAGAGGCTGTGAGGCGATGTCACCATTAGACACTTTACTTCTCACTGCATCCATTTCTTCTTCTGCTGGCCTTCCTTTCAATATACTTCCAATGCCCCAATCCCCGCTATGCAGTTGAAAATGAGGCCCACTGCGACTTTGTGAAGCTGCGGGAGATGCTGATTCGGGTCAACATGGAGGATCTGCGGGAGCAGACCCACACCCGGCACTATGAATTGTACCGCCGCTGTAAACTGGAGGAGATGGGCTTCAAGGACACCGACCCTGACAGCAAGCCATTCAGGTACCGCTCACGCCAGGCCAGGCCTGCCTGGCCCAGTTCAGAAAACATTGCCTAGACAATAATCTGCCTGGGGAGGAGAGGTGTAGGGGTTAGCTAGGGGCGCCCAAGGGAATTCCTGAGTCACCAGTGTTGCACATCTGCCAGAAAAGCAGGGAAGGGCAGGGGTCCAGAGAACACTTTGCTGACTACTCACTGCTTTGCCTCCCCCCCCCCCCCCCCCCCCCCGCTTCCATAGACCCTGAGCTGGGCTTTCGTTCTACTGGGTGGCAGTTAGGAACTGTCCTCTGTTCCCACTTTCTTCATCTGGTTCTCCTGTTGCTTAAGACAGGTTTCCAGTATGTGCTTCCCTAGCATGCACAAGCCCCAAGTTCATTGCTAGCACTAAGTAAAGAAATAGGAAAACACAGAATAGGACCACAGCCACTTTGCTTGTATTGGTGACCTGCCTGAGGCTCTTCTCCCACTGCCTAAGAATTTCAGTGTGAGTTTTGTTTTGACCCCTGAAGATGAATAACCCCTGGTGTTTTCCTCATCTCAGAACTAAAGTGCTTCTTAGTGCGCAGGTAGGAGCCCTAGACCAGTGGAAGCATCTGCTCTCTATATACAATGAGTCATCAGCCCTGCATTTTGAATTACCATATGTCGCCCTTTACCGTGACTCCATCTCCTTTCAGGAAATGTCAGGCATCCGTGAGCAAGCTAGGGGGAATATCTGTGGGAGGAAAGGACACTCAAATGGCCTCTGGGATCCCAAAGAACCTGTTCGTGGCAGAAAGAGGGCCTAGGACACTGTACAAGCAGTCCGTTGGGGGAATGTCTGCTTTAGGAATGGCAGCCTCCCACCCCTCAGTGGAGAGGCAGGTCAGGGCCCCAGAGCTCCTGAGCAGGGAGGAAAGCGAGTTTGTCTCTGCTGGAAGGCCCTTGGTTTCTCTCCTTCACCTCCACAGTTTTCCTCTGCATCTGGAAGGTGTACTTCTACCTGTCCATTCAGTCCTGGCCTTCCCTCCTTTGCCCCATCCTCCAGTCTTCTGTTCCTGCATCTTCACCTTCCCCCTCTCCCGCTGCCCTTGTCCACCTTGCTGGTAAATCCTCCTGCCTCACAAGCCCTTTTTCACTTCTGCTCTTTCTTACTAGTTCCTCCCATCAAGAGCTTTGTCTCTGACAGGGAAGAAACATTTCTGTTTCCGCTGTTCCTCTTCCTCCTCTCTCACTTTCTTCCTCAACCCACTGCAATCTGCCTTCTGCCTCCAGCTCTCCACAAAAGGGCCTCTCTCTAAGGCCTACAGTTGTAGATCGGTGGCCAGTTTCATCGTGGCTTGATTTCTATCTTTGGTTTTAATGTGGAATGTTCATTTGGCTTTCTTGAAATACCCTCTGCCTTCAGCTCTTCCAGTGTTGGGCCCGGCCAGCTTCATCCCTCTCCCCCTGGGCCTCACTTTCAGGTTCATTTATTTCTTCAGCTTTCTCCCTTAAATGGTGCTGCCTCCTTGGGGTTCCTTCCATGGGCCTCAGCTCTTCCATACTCCTGTCTCTTTGTTCTGGCTCTTTCTATTCTCACAGGTCTAATTAGTACCCGGGAATCTGATGACTCCAAAGCTAACACTTTACCATTGAACTCCAAGCCCACAGATGCAGCTGCACCACAGACATTTGCCCTCAGACATGCTATGGATGCCTAACCTGAATCCCCAATAGTCTGACATCCAGCCCACCTCCTTCTTCTTCCTCTTCCATGCTGTTCATGTCCTACTGTCTAGCTGGTGGCCCAGGCCAGAAACTAGAATCAGCTTCTTTTGGGGGTATATTCGGAAACTTTAATGTCGATCATAAGCACAAAGATTCAAAGAGAGATGCTCACCAAGACAATAAGATACACTTGAGAAAGCAGATATGAGTTACTCAGGGGACAGCTGTCTGGAATCAGCTTTGATTTCTTCCAAGGCCTGGAAATCTGCAGCCTTTGTTGCTCGTCCAAATCTCTCTCCATTCCCTGCCAGCCCTGACATGAAGATCCTGCCCTGTCATACTGAAATTGTTGCAGAGTTTTCTTCCCAGAATAGCCAAGTGGACTTTCCCATGTTCTGAGTGATGAAAATCACTCAGTGGATACATGTCCACTTCTTTCATGTGGCATCCAAAGCCTGTCCTCTTCTTCCAGACTCAGGAACCTCCCCTCCCAGTCCTCCGTGGTTCCTGTGATTCCCCCAGGCCTATCCAAGTATGCTGCTCTGTTCTTAGAACACAGTCCTTCTGGTCTTCACCCAGTTGACTCTGACTCTTTTTAAAATAACACGTACAGACCAGGGCATGGTCTTGATCCAGGCATCTCCCGATAGATCCCAAGATCCTCTAGGGCAGGCACGGTGGCTCTAGGCGCTAGATGCTGAGCGAGTGACTAGCATCATGTCTATTCACACTGCTTGCTTACGTGGTAGCTGTAATCTCAGTAAGTATTTGAGGAAATGCTGAATCAATGTGGGTGGTTTCAGAGCCAGGGCCTGGCAGTGCAGTGCAGTGGGAGAGAGGCCATACATGAAGAAACAGGAGACCCAGCTTCTGGTGTCAGCTCTGCCTCTAAATAGCTGTACAATCTTCAGCGAGTCACTTCACCTCTGTGAGGGGGATGGGAGGAAGAGAAAGATTTCTAGAAGGTAGTATCCAGTTCATTGAATCTGCCCCCTTCAGTAGCTCTGTAATATTGCTGCTGTATGCCAAGCTGTCCCCTCCCCTCTGATGGTCCTCTCTTTACATTTCTCTGTCAGAATTAGAATTAGAGCAGAGAGGATGAGGGGGGCTCAGGATGGTTGGGGCCCGTTTTCTTGAGCAGGGCTTGCCCGGGAGGCAGTGGAATTGACTGGATCCCATCTACAGTTTACAGGAGACATATGAGGCAAAGAGAAATGAGTTCCTAGGGGAGCTCCAGAAAAAAGAAGAGGAGATGAGACAGATGTTTGTCCAGAGAGTCAAAGAGAAAGAAGCTGAGCTCAAAGAGGCGGAAAAAGAGGTAAGTGTGAGCCTGGAGAGCAGGCAGGTAGGAGGGGAGACTGAGTGTCATGCTGGAGACCTCGGCCTTCACAGGGCAGCTGGAGGGGAGAGGGATACGCAGCCTCTGGGCAGGACTGGCGTGCAGCCTGGGTGGAGAGAATCTTCTTGACCTTCATTCCCTAAGGCTGGGATATTTTCTCATTCTGTTAATTATGTAGAGGTGTTGCCAATCAACATGGTAGCCAATAGCTGTAGGTGGATTTTTTTTTTTTTTGGAAATTTGAATTCATTCATTTGCTTAGGTTTCGAAGCCTATATGTAGCCCAGGCTGGCCTCAAATTTTAGAACCTCTTGCTTGCGTCCTAGGATTACAGGCATGAATTACAGTGCGCAAAATATTTTATTAATTGCATATATTTATGGAGTATGATGTGCAATTTTCATGTTTATATAATAGAATTATTAAATCAAGCAAAGAGTCACTTCATTTCAATATGTTTATCTTTTTTGTTATTTTTCAAGACAGGATTTCTCTGTGTAACTGTCCTGGCTGTCCTGGAACTAGCTCTTTTTTTATTAATTTATTTATTTATTAAAGATTTCTGCCTCCTCCCCGCCACTGCCTCCCATTTCCCTCCCCCTCCCCCAATCAAGTCCCCCTCCCTCATCAGCCCAAAGAGCAGTGAGGGTTCCCTGCCCTGTGGGGAGTCCAAGGACCACCTACCTCCATCCAGGTCTAGTAAGGTGAGCATCCAAACAGCCTAGGCTCCCACATAGCCAGTACGTGCAGTAGGATCAAAAACCCACTGCGATTGTTCTTGAGTTCTCAGTAGTCCTCATTGTCCGCTATGTTCAGCGAGTCTGGTTTTATCCCATGTTTATTCAGACCCAGTCCAGCTGGCCTTGGCGAGTTCCCGATAGAACATCCCCATTGTCTCAGTGTGTGGGTGCACCCCTCGTGGTCCTGAGTTCCTTGCTCGTGCTCTCTCTCCTTTTGCTCCTGATTTGGACCTTGGGATTTTGGTCCGGTGCTCCAATGTGGGTCTCTGTCTCCTTCGTTGCCTGATTATATACACCAGACTGACCTTGAATTCCTGAGATCCCGCCTCTAACTCCAGAGTGCTGGGATTAAAGGCGCGTGCACTACCACTGCCAGCTGTTTGGGTTTTTGTTTTTTTTTTTCTGTTGGAAACATTTAAGATCTAAGTCTGGTCACACGGGCTATAATCTAGCAAGAGCACAAGTTCAAGGCCTGCCTGGGCAATTTAGTAAATCGCTGTCTCTAAATAAGAAAAGCTGAAAGGGGGCTAGGGATAGAGTTCAGTGGTAGAGCTCTTGTACAGTAGCATGCTTTAGGCCCGAGGTTCAACATTCCCAGTACTGATAGGGGGTGCATTTGAACTATACTCTTGGCCATTTTGAAATATACAATAAAATTTACAGTTCAGCTCTTCTCGTTAGCCCATTGCAAATGTAAGTCCCAATGCAACTGCTGGCGTGGAGCTGCTCTAGCAGAACACCCAGTTCTCCTGGGCAGTGGGGCACGTTGAGTCAGGGTGTGGAGCCACAGCTGTTGTCAACAACTTTGAGCAAGCACAATAACTCAAACTCTCTGACCTTCAGACAAGGTGGAATAGGCCCACATTTTTGGAGTTATTTTGGAGCATTGGATCCTCTGGAACTGGAGTTACAGATGACTGAGCTGCCAAGTGAATGCCAGGGACCAAAACTGAGTCTTCTGGAAAAGCGGAAAGTGCTCTTAACTCCTGAGCCATCCCTCCAGCCCCTAATAAGTAATAAGCCCCTGATAGTAATTAGTTCTTTAAAAAGAATCAAACATATGCAGTTATTCTTTCAAGCAATGGCCTTGACTTGCAAGCATCTTCTACCCATTCCCATCTCAATGCCAGAATAATTGACCTCCGGTGCAGTTTTGGAATATCAGCCAGCACTTCCCTTCTCTTGGTCTTAGTTCCTAAACAATCTAAGAAGCCACGTTTGGCTGTACATGCCTGTAGCTCAGCCTTGGGGAGCAGAGACAGGTAGATCCTAAAGTACAGGCTTAGCCAGAAGGAGAACTTTACATATGGACGATCCCATTATAGAATCCTCCAAAGACTTGTTGACCTTGGGCAAATGCCTTCATTTCTGAGACTTTTGGTTTCCTCATAAAATAGACCCTACCGCAACTGTGTTGTAAGATAAGCATGCTGGCCTATATCTTTATCTCAGTACTCAAAAGGCAGAGACGACGGGAGGGTTGTGAGTTCAAGGTTAGCTTGAACTGTACAGCAAGATCCTGTCTCAAAAAGAAAAGGAATAGAGTGCTGTGTTAATGAAAATGTTTTAATATATTAGATTTAGTTATATTAGTTAGATTAGATTAGATTAGATTAGATTAGGCTTGTAACAAACTAAGTACATATTATTATCAACTACACCCAATAACTACAGGGGTTCTTTGAAATAAAATCTTTGTTTACACAGAATACATTGGTCCTTGACCATTTCAGGAGCAGAGATTCTGAGAACAATTATAGCAATCTACAATAATCCTTAGTGCCATCATGGCTGTTACTGGCAGGAATGTTTCCTCTTGTTCCAGAGTCCTACCGGGTTGCAGACACAGTGGTTCCCACCCACTCTGGTCTTGGCTGGGCTAGGGACTGTTCACTGCTGCAGGGGGATGGGGGAGACTCCCTCTAACTTCCCTGTGCCTCTCTGCCAGCTGCATGAGAAGTTTGACCGTCTGAAGAAACTGCACCAGGAAGAGAAGAAGAAGCTGGAGGATAAGAAGAAATCCCTGGATGATGAAGTGAATGCTTTCAAACAGAGAAAGACAGCAGCTGAGCTGCTCCAGTCTCAGGGTTCTCAGGCTGGGGGCTCGCAGACTCTGAAAAGGGATAAAGAGAAGAAGAAGTAAGTAGCAGGCTTGCTGGCGGGGCGCGTGTATGTATGTATGTGTGCGGCATCTTTCTTTTCCTGCCCAGCCCCTCCCCCCAACTGCATCCACCACCTTTCAGGACTTAGAGGCCAAGGGGGCTGGTGGGCAGGTGTGCACTGCAGGCTGCAGTTAGACTCATGTAGTTAGTTCACTGTCTTCATGGTGCCCGAGTCTGAGTTGCTGAGAGAAGGAGAGCACTCCCAGAAGTCTAGCTTTGCCCTTTGGCCCATCTGGGAAAGCTCTGCAAACTCAGGGCGGATAGTAAGGGAAGAGGGGCTAGGAAGTAGGGAACAAATTGTGAGAGATGTAGAGGGATAAAGAGAGGAACAAAAGGATGGACAGACCAGGATCTTTTAGTAGAAGCTCTATGCACTTCCCCAGATCCTAGACCAGCGGTTTGCAACCTGTGGGTCAAGACCCCTCTGGAGGTCAAGTCACCCATTCACAGGCGTGGCCCAAGACCATCGGAAAACAGATATTTACATTATGATTCATAACAGTAGCAAAATTACAGTTATGAAGTAACAACAAAAATGTTATGGTTGGGGTCAGCACAACAACAGGAACTGTTAAAGGGTCGCAGCTGCTCTAGACTTTCAGTATCATGCAGCATACAGGTCTGCTTACTCCTCCCACATCTGAGGGGAGGGGCCTACAATCTTACTCTGCCTCTGTTCTAGCTGCACCCTGTGAAAGGTAAATGCTGCCACTGAAGGCTGCACCCTGTCTCCCATCCTCCATCCTTTTGCTATACCTCTTCCTGCTGGCTGCTTAGGTATGCCCAGCCCGGGGTACTAAGAACTTAGTGGGGGGGGAGGGGGGCTTCAGATGCCAGTGTCCTCTGCATAGGCCATTTTCAAGCTTGGGGAATGGTTCAGAAGCCATTGTTTCTCCAAGTGTTTGGTAGGTTAATAGTCCTGACCCTACCCCAGTCTCTGCTTGCAGAAATACCCCATTCCTCATTTCAGAGCCAGAGAAGAGGAAAGAGTTCTGGCAAGCAAACATGCAGAGGTTCCCTTGTGCTCTGTGCCTGTTTGTGCAGTGGGACTCGGGGGATTCCGGGATGAAGTATTTAACAACATCCTTACTAAAGGACCTTTAACATCCCAGAGATGCCCATGCTCATGACCTTTGATTTGGGGCCACTGATTTGAGTCTGCCATTGGATACTTTCCAGAAGGAAAGAAGTATCTTTTTGCCTCTGTGCCTGGCTTCTCACTTAGGATCACACCATGAATGTAGACTATTTTATATTTCACGGCACTGAGTTTTGTGATCCTGTTTATCCAATTTGACTACCTATTATGTAATTTGAATATTTTCATCAACTTGGTCCAGAGATTTTTTTTTTAAGAATAGAATCTTTTTCTTGGGGTGGGGGTGGGGTCTTGAGACAGGGTTTTTGTTTTTTGTTTTTTTGTTTTTTTTTGTGTGTGTGTGTGTGTGTAGCCCTGGCTATCCTGGAACTAGTTCCGTAGACCACTCTGGCCTAGAACTCACAGAGATCCACCCACCATGCCTCCCCCACCCCCAGAACAGAATCTTATAGCTACATATCAAATTCACTAAGGTTCAACTAGGCAGATGGAAAACCTCTGTGGATGCATCATCTATTAACTTATCAGTCATGGCATATCAGTTATAATAACAGAAAATGATACACATTTTCCTTTTTAAAATTTATTTGGCACTGGGTGGTGGTGGCACACGCCTTTGATCCCGGTACTTGAGTTTGAGGTCAGCTGGGTCTATAGAGCAAATTTCAGGACAGCTAGGACTGTTACACAGAGAAGCCCCATCTCAAAAATCCAAAAGTAAAGAAACAAAGTAAACAATTTGTCATCACCTGATTTGTTTAGGATGCACTGGTGTTGTAGGTCAGTGGTTCTCAACCTTCCTAATGTTGCAGCGTTTAAATACAGTTCCTCATGTTGTGGTAACCCCTAACCATAACATTATTTTTGTTACTACTTCATGACCGTAATTTTGTGTTTTCTGATGGTCTTAGGTGACCCCTGTGAAAGGGTCATTTGACCCACAAGGGAGTTGGGAACTCACAGGTTGAGAACCACTGCTGTATCCAGTCCCTTCAAGATGCTCAGTGAAAGCTCTTCCCAGAGCAGACTTTTCCCCAAACTGACTTCCTCCCATCTCATGCAGAAGACTGGATGAGTCTTTCTCTCCCCACTCTCCAGAAATATCTGGGATTGGTGCCAGTGCCCCTTTCCAGTTCTGAGATGGGTGAAAACCTTGCTGGGATGTGGCACCTTACACTAGCATTCAGAGCTGGCACAATAGCCCATCCCCATCCATACTGTGAGTGGCCCTAGGTCTGGGCTCCTTCTGCATCTCTGTGAGCATCTTGGTGAACTTGGAGAGAGGCTGTGCCACTAAGTTTATGCTGCTCTGCTCCCATGGCGCTTTTGCTGGTGATGGTTTGGTGAAGGGTATAAATTGTTGTAGTAATTTTTTTTTTTAGACAGACTGTGGGTGAATCTGATCAAGCCCCAGCTTTAGAATTTCCTCTGGATGCCCCTAAAGAGACTAAGAAAGAGTAGTAGTGTTTTAGGGGTGTCTACCAAGCCACACTTCCCTGTTCCCTTCCCCATTTCTCCTAATCCTTTGACCTCTAACACTTCATTATTTGTATCAATTCTTAATATTGCATTTCTCCTCGTGCTCACTCCACCTTCATCAGCTCTTACTGTTTTACAGTTAACTCTGCTGTTTGCTGCATGCTGCATGAGACCCAGGGTCCTGGTAAGCTTTATTAACTCTAAATAGAACTGCCAGTGGCTTCTAGAACATACCTCCCAAAACCCCACACTTGTGATACATATAGTTAACCATGAAAGAAATGGCTTCATTCGACCTGCTACTTTCCTCCCAAGATTTCCAGTATAAAGTTGTAATCTGTCGTGGTTTTAAGTGGGCTTGTTACATCTGGAGTGCCTGCCTGCCTGCCTGCTTGATTAGATGTATGTGTGTGTGTGACTGCATTTGCACACTTCTGTTGCTGGAACAGCTGTGTAGCATAGGAGAGAGATCATCTGACCAGCATGTAAAGTTTCAGCTCAGACACTGTTTTCACACATAGCCATAATCATGACTTTCAAAATGAAGTTTGATGATGCAGGAAACTGCTGGGTTCACGGTCCCTTGCCTGCCATATCACAGTCAATACTGACTACCCCCCACACACACCCCAGATACAAGAATGTGCAAAGAGAAATTGCTTCTCTGTCACCCTCTAGTAACTGCTCCTTATCTGAGGGGTTCAAGTTCTCCAACTTCTTTTTATTGCATGCCCCACCCTCCAAAATATAACCAAAGTGGAAGATAGTGAAGAGACCTCAAATACTATAGGGAAATCCTTACATTTAGTGCTGTAGAACAGGTGAGGTGGTTTGGCAGGCTTCATGGCAGCATTTACCTTTCCCAGAAAGCCGCTGAAGTCTCGCAGTTTGCGTTTAATCCCTAGAATCCATAGAAAGGTGTAAGAAGAGAAACAACTCCATAAAAGTTCTCCTCCAGTCACTCTACACCATGGCACTTGTGTCCATAAACGGTACTAAGAAATTAATTTAAAACTTTAATTCTGGGTCTGGAGAAATGGCTCAGGCGGTTAAGAACACTTTGCTGCTCTTCCAAATGAGCTGAGTTTGCCTCCCAATACCTGCACATTAGGCGGCCCACAATTGCCTGTAACTCTAGCTCCAAGGGATCTGACAACCTCTTCTGGCCTTTGTGGACACCTGCATGAGCACACACACTCACACACACACCTCTCTCTCTCTCTCTCTCTCTCTCTCTCTCTCTCTCACACACACACACACACACACACACACACACACACACACACACCTCTCTCTCACACCTCTCTCTCTCTCTCACACACACACACACACACACACCTCTCTCTCACACACACACACCTCTCTCTCTCTCTCTCTCTCTCTCTCTCTCACATACACACACACACCTCTCTCTCACACCTCTCTCTCTCTCTCTCTCTCACACACACACACACACACACATACACACATACACACACCTCTCTCTCACACACACACCTCTCTCTCTCACATACACACACACATACACCTTTCTCACACACACACACACATATACACACTAAATATAAATCTTCTTTTTTTTTTTTTGGACCCCGTCGGGGAATCGAACCCCGGTCTCCTATAAATCTTTTAAAAATTAATTCTGTAAGACTGTAAGAACAAGCTTCATGAAAACCTCTGCTAAAGAATTAGCAGGTAATTCTTTGTAAGAATCTCTAAGGGCTAGTGGTTGTGTCTACAGAAGTAGAACAGTCCATGCTATCACACAGATTTTAAAGAAAATGAAAGCAGTCATTATAGGATAAAAGAAAGCAGTGAATAAGCACCTTTTGTATACGCTACCAAAACCAGGAAGTGGGGTGAAATTGAACAGGAAGTGGGATGAAATTGAATAGAAATATTTTTAACAGCGAACTTAGATTTCTTTTTAACTCTGACACGGGAACTTTCAAATGTAGAGAGAAAAGAGGTGATAGTACAATTCAGCCCCATATTCCTGGAGCCTGGCCATCAAAGAATCATTGACATACAGCTAATCCTGCTTCCTCAATTACCCAGGCATGCTGAATTATTGTAAGGCAAAAGTTGTATCATTTTATGTGTAAAATACATAGTATGTATTTCTAGGAGATAATGATGCTTTAAAATAAACACAGCTATCATTATCACACCTATAAAATTAGCAATAATTTGCCAACATAAAACATCTAGTTGGTGGTGAAAGTACCCCAGTGGTCTCATAAATTGCCTTTCTTACTTTTGGTTTGTTTGGGTTGGGGACTAAAGTATTGAGATGTCCCCTGGCTCAGCCATGCGGTGGTTTATATGGAGAGCCTGCTGTTAGTCATCAAACCAACAGGTTGCAGTCATTGCACTACAAACCTCAGGCAGCTGGCAAAGAAACTCTCCTTTCAAGCAAATCCCAGCAAGGAAGTCCATCCAGGCTTCTGAAACAGAAAGCCCAGGGAACTGAGTCAAACAAATGCATCCTAGAAGAACAAAGCAATGATTTACAACCTGCTTTAAAAACAAGCCCTGGGGCCCCTGCTAGGGTGCCAGCATCAAATGGCAGCTTTCTATTTAGGGAGACTAAATTCCTAGAGTATTTGCTCACTACCATAGTTCAGGTGCCTAGTCAAGTGTCTGACGCATAGTAGGAGCTCAGTTCATATGGAGTTTCTTTGTTCTACCATTTTCTTTTTTAAAAATTTTTAAAGAATTGTTTATGTTTTATTTAACTTTATTTTATGTGCATTGGTGTGAAGGTCTCAGATCCCCAGGAACTGGATTTACAGACAGTTGTGAGCTGACATGTAGGTACTGGGAATTGAACCCCACTCCTCTGGAAGAGTAGTCAGTGCTCTTAACCACCAAGCCATCTCTCCAGCCCCTGTTCTACCATTTTCAATGAGAGCAGGAAAGATGTATTCTGGTGAATTCCATTTTGACTAATTCAGATTTCATTGCACACTGAGTGATTTTCACTCAGAGTTCCCTGGGTATGTCTTTGTTAGTAGCCATCCTTAAAATAGACCCTGGAAAACTATCATTAAAGTCACACCTTAGAAGTGAGAGACGATAAACAGCTGGAGCAGCCGATTTCAACCCCAAGCTTCTGTGTAGTCGACTGCAAAAGCAGTTATAGATCATTTGAGCTGGGAGGGCCTTAGCTGCCTAGGATCTGCAAGCAGCAAAGGATGTGCCTCCTTCCCAAAACCTTCACTTGGGGGGTTGATCAGAAAAGCCACCTGGAAGGCAGGCTGAAGGAGGCTTCTCTACATGGGAGAGCAGGACATTCACTGTGAACAGTTGATTGCATATTCTCATATATGCATGTTTGTCTAATTCTACTCCCCGCAAATAGCACTGATTTAATGGGATGACTGTTGTGTCTGTTTTTCCAAAAATCCCCGAGAAAATCAACTTAAGGAAGGAAATTTGGTTCTGTTTATGATCACTTGGCCTCATTGGTGTGGCACAGATCTCGGCAGAGCATCGTGGTAGAGGGGTGTACGGAAGCAGAGCTTCTCACTTCGTGCCAGCCAGGAAGCAGAGAAATGAGGCAGGGACAAGATACAGCATCACAGGACTTGTTCCGGTGACCTACTTCTTCCAACAGGGCCGCCTGTAATACTATGAATCTTTCAACAGGATTATTCTGTTAAATCAGAGCCCTCAGACTCTAGTTGCTTCCTCAAAACCCCTTAGCTGACAAGGAAGCCTTTAATACATGAGTCTTTGAAGCACACACCACATCTAAACTATAAAAGAAATCTCATTTTCAGGTCATAAACAAGAATTTTGAAACAAAGCAAAGAAATTCTCAGAGACCATTAAGACTCTCCCAGTAACAGGAGAGTCTTGGTTAGATATCTCTTATCATGGATATAATACTTTATGACTACAGGCATATCAGTCAGTCTCTTCATATGTGACACAGGGACCAATATGACTTAATATACTTATATCACAGAAATGAAATCCCAGCAGGAGATAGGTCAAAGTACGACATGAACACAAACCAGTGGGCTTCTGTAGCTCAGGTTTACAGGTCACTGGTTGGAACCCCACCCATCACACACTTGACAAACAGGTATTGGCTTAGGGTTGCAGTTAGCCGGCTAAACTTGCTACGAAGGATGCCAAAGTTGAAACCTCAGTTTTTTCTTGTCCTTTGGGACAAGAGGGCTGTGAGCCTGGTGCTGTGTCTGGTAGCCTAAGGTCACTAGAGACTTGGTATACATGGACAAGGTTATCTGGATGTGTGTATGTGGGATTGTATGTCAAGAACAGATTTTAAAAATTATTTGTGTGGGATTTGGTCTTTATTTTGCTTTTTTAATGTCACCACTGCTGCCATTAATATGAGAAAGCATGTTCCCAGAAGCCAGTGCATAAGACTTTTAAGACCATCTAACATAGCTATTCTACTTTAGCTATTAGTTATGACTTAATTTCTTTCTGGCTTTTTTTAAGGGATCCATCCATCCATCCATTCATTAACCCCCCTTCTCTTTTCATTTTCAGTTTGGGCTTCCTGTAGACGCACCCTTTCCTGTGCAACAGAACTGGGCCTCCCTCTCTTATTTCCCCCTTACCATGTTTAGGGGGCATACAACCCATGCCCTCCCCTCTCTTCCTGCGAGTCAAATGATGATGCCTGGCCTCTGACCAAGAAGCCAGCAACGACATAGCTTGGAGTCACATTCCATACCTTAGTCCCTGTCCTAGCACCCCAACCGTATGTGCCCCTACTTCTCCATCCCTATCTTTGCCAGACTATCACATGTTCAGGAGTTGCTATTTGCTACTCTTCCTCATTTGAATTTGACCACTATTTGTTTCCTTGAGGTATTTCCATCTACCCTGGCTGGATAAGTACCAGTCAAGGCTCAGAGCTTTCCCCTTACACTCCTGCATCCTAGTCAATGGGATTGTCCTCCCATTCCTCTAATCTAAGGAACTATAACCTCTTCTCATAGGCTTCAAAAGAATTACCAGTGATACCTATTTCTTCTACCATCTTAGCCCAGCCCTTTCCCAATTCCATTCACTCAGAGTCACCTGTATTAAAAGTCAGCACACGTTTCTTTGCACCAAGCCCTTTCTATAAAACACAATTTTCTGGGCAAGACAGTGTATATTTCCCCTCTAATTCTGGACACCCCATAGATAAAGAAGGGAAAATAAACTAGCATATTATTACCAGCCTAGAGTCTTGAATGATAGACTTATAGAATTCTCCTTGGGGATTTCAGCATGGCATTGGTCATTTCTTGCCATCCCAATGAGGTGGACTAGCAATAATAATAATCCCAGTTTGTAAACTGGTGAGTTGCTTCAAGAAGCTAGGCTTGGGGCTCGCCTGGATGAGTATGCTAGTCTACCTGATGATTGTAATGATGGGTTGAATCTGCATTTACACCCGTGCCACTTCAAAGAGGAGAGACCATTAGCTGGAGGAAAGAAGAGATGCTGTTGCTTGACATTTACTTCGGTCTAAGGATTTGATATTTTAAAAATACCCTAGTCTTAAGTTTTATAATGGGTCCCATCTGATTCTGGCTTTTGGAAACCCTTTGAAGTACAGAGCCTTCCACTGTCAGGGCTATGAGGCACAGTATGGCTTTTGATGTTTGACTAGTGACAGAGCAACAGCTAGAGGCGACCTGGCAATGATCTGTGGCTAATATGGCGTCTCTCTGCCCTTCCTTTGCAGTAATCCATGGCTGTGTACTGAATAGTATGCCCTGCTACAGCTGGACTGGACTCCACTTAGCCTTTTAAGAGAAGGTTCTTATTTTAACTGACAACTTTTTTTAATGGTGCCAGACAGCTGGGCCCTCCACCCCTGCTCTGGTACTTAAAGCTTCTCTCTCGCTCTTTTTTTTTTTTTTTTTTTTTTTTTTTTTTTTTGAGTTCTGCAACTTGCTTCTGCCTCCCAGTCCGACTGGCGTGGACCATGACCTTCTTCTTTTTTCATATTTTAAAGGTGGTTGTATAATCACTACCTCTAAAACACGCAAGGTGATAATACATTTACAGGCTTTCGGAACTGTTGCAAAAGGGCAGAGCCATTCTCTACAATCACAGTTAACACCCGGAAGCCAAGACTAAGCCCAGAGCAGAACTAGTTGAAAGCGAACAAGTCAGTGTGCACACTTTCTCTGTTTTGTGGTCAAAGAGAGGCGATGTTGATATGTACTGGCCTGTGGCCAGAGGCAAGAACAGGGTGACAATGGAAAAGCATGAGCTAATTTCTTGGGAAAAACCAACTGGAAGTGGAGAAATTCAGGTAACCCTATGCCTAGATGTAAAACAGAACAAGGCACCACCACCAAAACAGAAAGCCCAAAGCAGAATCCCCAAATACCTTTGGTTACACAGTCAGTAGTCGGGGGAGTCAGGCTACTGAGTTAACTGAGTCTCCTTGAGAAAGACCTCTTATTTGTAGCCATGCGGTTCTGTGGGGTTTTTGTTTTTAAGACAGGTTCTTACTATGTAGCCCTGGCATCACAGCGTAGATTAGGCTGGCCCTCAAATTCACAGAGATCTGTCTGCCTGTATTTAAAGGCAAACACCAGCTACGTGCAGACCCAGCTGTTTTAGGCATCTTAATTCACCTTCCCGGAAATGAGGCCTCTCCTTTGCAATTGTATATAAATTCACTACTTGAGGCTTGAGGATTTCAAAATACTTTGCAAGTATTTGAGCTAGACCACTTTTCAAAAGCAAGGAGGAATTGTAATAAGGTGGGAACTTTTTGGCCAGCATGAATGATGTAACCCCTACGAGGATATTGACATGTAAAGAAATGAAGGCACTTATCTGAGGTTCCACTGCTATTTCTTGGCAAAGTCCAAGCAAAATTTTGTCTCTGGGTTCCCAATCCATTTCACCAAAGGGACCCAAGTATTTATGTATGTTCCTGAAGACAATTTTTTTTATGTTCAGAGAACTCAGTCATTGTTAGAGGAATAGGATAGGATGGATAGGGGCAGGTGGAGAGAAGGCTTCAGGCCAGCTACCATGATGCCTGATGGTCAGTTAGCTTTCCTATAAATCTGAACCAGGATCAGGCCAGTGTCCATTTCACCGGTACACTATGTGGCTTCTTGTAATCAGGGAACTTTGGTGGAAATAAAAAGCAATCAGACTCATTAAAGAAGTTGAGATGATGCTAAATTTCACTGAGAAGCTCTTCTCACTGTAAATGGGAAGGTTTTTGTTTTTCTTCACTTGAACATCTTTTTTGTGTGTGAGACAGGGTTCCTCTGTGTAGCCCTGGCTATCCTGGAACTAGCTCTTGTACACCAGGCTGACCTTGAACTCACAGAGATCCGCCTGTCTCTGTGCTGGGATTAAAGACGCATGCCACCACCGTCCGGCATTGAACATCTTTTGAATCAGTACGGTTGTTACTATTCTTTAAAAATACTCAAAAATCTGTTTCCTTCTAGTGAAACAAAATCCATTAAATATGATCTGTGCTCTTGTTTTTCTAGACTAGAATGGAATGGCTTCCCTGAAACACACACACACACACACACACACACACACACAACATTCATTTCTCTGAAGCCAACAAGTCTGGTTTCCCCACCTAGTTTGGGTCTTTTTTAAAAACTCACTTGGCATTCACATGTGGCTGTTAATATGTGCTTATTTTTTTAATTAAAGCAAGACTCATTAAACTGGTGTGTGGTGTTCTTCAAACCTTCTCAACAGATTTCTCCATGGTGATGGTCGCTCCGTGACCTGTTCCTGTCTTCTTGGCATTTAATCTACGCTACCTTCCACTGCCCGCTCCCCTTGCATGCCGCTTTAAATGTCCTTTCTCTTCAGCTAATTTTGTGTTTTCTCTCTCTTTCTCTCTCCCTCTCCAGCTTTTTTTAACCTTGTCTTCAGCAGCTGTACTAAGTCTAAAGGAGAAGACTGCCATTATAGAAGAGTTAGTTAGGGCTCCATATTGTCTCAAGCAAGAAACCAACCAGTTCCCCTCCCCTGCAACTGTGCACATAACACCACACTCGAGTGTACATGTGTCCCTGTGTCCAGGCAAGAATCTCTCTTCTGACTTACATGGTGTTTTACATGGAAGTGTCTTGTCCTAAACTCACAAGGCAGGAAAAGAATCATCAGAGCTGGAATTGGACCAAATGTAACCTCAGAGAGCCGACGACAGAACCACTCACCCAGGTGTTAAGTGATTGGGGCAGGAGACCTCAGCTGTGGGTGTGGAAGTGCTGTTCACAAGGTTTTGAGTTTTCTGTTTGTTTTTTAAAAACAACTCTCTGGTTCAATGGGTTGACTGTCTTTAGCCACTATCAGGCTGATTCTGAATATGGACGAGAAAGTTGAGTGACAGTTGCATCTTCAGCATTCGCAGACCTTCTGTAGCCCCCAGCGAGGGGGAGGCATGGAGCATTAACATTCCGCTGGAGAAAAACTGACTGACGAGGGTTTAAGCTTAGTGAGAACAAAGCTTCTCCACGCAAACTTCCACGGGGCTTTAGGGGCTTTGCAAGAGGTTTCTGCTCAACTTGGTATCTGGAAGGAGAGCTTTGATGTTGGTAAATCTGCCTTCAATTCATTGGCTTTGCTTAATATCCGAATACCACGTGAGTGTGCTCCTTCCCATGTAGCCATCCCACAAACACGAACACTCTGCTGTCCGTCTCTTGAGAGAGCCTCTTTGCATGTTTTCCAGAAGCTGTGTTTGTTTTCCTTTCTTCTCTGTGGTTCTTTTGGCTCAAAGGTGTGACCAGTCACTGCCCTTCTGGGGCTTTCATTTTCCACAAGATACATCCCAGAACCAGCACTGTTTAGCTCATTATCTTTCTAATGTCCATGTCAATTTTCAATAAAATTCAAAGAAATGTTCCATGGCTCCATGATCTGATCCCATCAGTTGAGGGCATGGCTCACCACAGTTTGCTTCAGGAAATGGGTGGCTCCCTCCCAAGTGGATAATTTGGGAGGCTCAGAGAAATGCCATGGTGCCACTAAGCCTTCCTCAGTGGACCACCACACCCCTTGCTTCCTTCTGGCCCTGAAATTCCAGTGGGGCAGGGTGGGTCTCAGCAGGCCGGCTCTGCTTTCCCTTTAATTAGTACTGACTGGGCTAATCAGATGAACTGAGAACCAGACCGTAGAGGGAAGGGGAAAATACAAAATGGCATCCCACAGAGCAAAGTCCAGGTAAGTTTTAATTATGGAACAAAAGCAGCTCTGCTGCTCCTCTCATTTACTCCTGTTATGTGCACATTTTCCCAATTTCCCAAGTTGAAAGGCATTCTGTAGATACTAAGCCTTCGGTCTCTCAGAAAAGCCGCCTCCCATCCTCCCAAGCATTAAGGTAGACAAAAAGAAAAGTCATCAGTTTTCAGAAATCTAGTGCGTGAAGGGGGGCTTGCTTCCCTGCACTTCATTTGCCTAATGATCAAAGACTGAAGAAAGGACCAGGGCGTCTTCTCCCTAGCAAAACCTGAAGCCTCTGCTTGGGTACCAGAGCAGACAGCACTGACCTGCCTCTACGCAGCTCACACGCTAGGGGGCAGCAGAGTAAAGCTATAGTCACTTATGACATCACTGAACACTGAGGAGCAGTTGGAGGTGTGGAAAAATACAGAATCCTTAGCCTGTTGTGATAGTGGGAAAGTTGTGATAAGAAAGGCAAAGGCGGTCTGGTAATATGGTAAGGCGCCTGCTGGCAGGCCCAACTGTCTGCGTTTCATCCCTGGGACCTATATGGTGGAGGGAGTGACCTGATTCCTTGCAAGTCCTCTCATTTCCCCACACGCGCCCTGGCACTCCACCCAGTTTCGGGGGTGAGGGAGAGAACGAAAACCCTAGGAACCTCTTCTATTGCCAAAGACAACAAAATCCCAAAACAGTAAAGGCGGGGATGATGGCACATTCCTATAATTTCAGCATTCAGAAAGCATGGGGAAAAGGAAGTCTCGTCTGACACCAACCTGGTGTCAAAGATAGTGAGTCTAAAGCCATTCTGGGTACACATCCAAACCCTGTCTCAGTAAACCCAGCCTGGGGTGGTGGTAGGGCTTCTCTAGAAAAGAGGAATGCCAGTAAGTCCTTCACAAAAAGTATCTGGGTATTTGGGTCATTGAGATGGCTCAGCAGAAAATGATACCTGCCACCAAACTTAATGACCTGGGTTTGATACCTGGAACTGACACGGTGGACGTAGAGCATTAACTCATGCAAGTTATCCTCTGGATTTAAGTCATGTGCCATGGGTGCAGGCAAAGGTGGGTGCAAACTCACTAAAGAAATAAAAATGAAAAGATTCAGTCATGGACGGAGCAGAAGAGATGACCAGCCCACGGGTTAAAAGTACTTGCGGCTCTTGCTGAGGATCAGATTCCAGCACAAGACCTGGGGCAGGGCTTCTTACTGCCCAGGTAACTCC